TGTGTGGCCACTGCAGCGAATTATCAAACCCAGGAGAGAGGTGGTGGTGCTTTGGGAGGAACAGTTGATGAAAGGGCTGGAGGGAGGCAGCATGTCTGGCCCTGCAGTAATAGGCCTTGGGTTACTGCTGGTAATCCTGTCTTCCTTTTGTGGGATTAGAAGAGATCAGAACATGTGGCCTCCCTGCCATTCTTGCGGAAACATTGTCTGACATAGTGCTAGAAGATGAGCCACTCAGTTTGGAAGGAAGTCAAAATACAACTAGTGAAGAGTAGAACCAAAACCAAACCAAACTCACAGCCATCAAGTCAATTCCAACTCATAGCGACCCCCTTTGGGTTTCCAGGGGAAAAATCTTTACAGAAATAGATTGCCCAATCTTCCTTCCATGGAGTGGCTGGTGTGTTTTAATCACCAGCTTTCTGGTTAGCAGTCAAATGCCTTAGGCACTACGTCTAACAGTTCCTTTCCTCAGACTAGAGTCGACCTTAATGGTGTGCGTGGAATAAATCTTTGTGGACCTTCATTTGCTGATGTGGCATGACTCAAAATGAGAAGAAACAATTGCAGACACCCATTAATGATAGGAACATGGAATGTATGAAGTTATAAAAAATGAAATGTAATACATAAAGATTGATATTAGCTGAAATGGACTGGTATTGGCCATTTTGAATTGGGCAATCATATGATCTACTGTGCTGAGAATGACTAATTGAAGAGCAATGGCATCACCTTCATTGTCAGAAAGAGCATTTCAAGATCTATCATGAAGTAAAAGGCTGTCAGTGATAGGCTAATATCCATATGCCTAAAAGGAAGTCCAGTTAATACTTGGTTGCTGTTGTTAGGTGCCATCGAGTCATTTCTGACTCATAGTGACCCTATGCACAGCAGAATGAAACAGTGCCTGATCCCGTGCCAGCTCCATGATCCCTGCTATACTTGAGCCCATCATCGCAGCCACTGTGTCAATCCATCTCGTTGAAGGCCTTCCCCTCTTTTGTCGACCCTCCACCTTACCAAGCATAACATCCTTCTCCAGGGAATAGTCCCTGCTTTGGGCATGCCTGGGTTCCCCCTCCTCACCTGGATCCCTGCGGCTGACTGCTCCCCAGTTAATACTACTGTTTTTCAAATTTACACACTAACCACTAAAACCAAGGATGAAGAAATTGAAGATTTTTACCAACTTCTGCAGTCTGAAATTGACCAAACATGCAATCAAGATGTACTGATAATTACTGATGATTGGAGTGCAAAAGATGGTAACAAACAGGAATCATTGGTAGTTGGAAAATATGGCCTGGGTGATAGAAATGATGTCGGAGACTGCATGATAAAATTTTGCAAGATCAACAACTTTTTCTTTGGAGATACCTTTTTTTCAGCAATATAAATGGCAACTATACATGTGTACCTCACCAGATAGAATACACAGGAATCAGGTCAACTTTGTCTGTGGAAAGAAAGAGGTGATGAAGAAGCTCAATATCTTCAGACCAAACAAGGCCAGGAGCTGACTGTGGAACGTGTTTATACTGCAAGTTCAAGTTGAAGCTGGAGAAAATTAACACAAGTCCATAAGAGCCAAAATATGACCTTGATTATATCCCTTCGGAATTTAGAGACCATCTGAAGAATAGATTTGATGCATTAAACACCAGTGATTAAAGATCAGACAAATTGTAGGATGACATCAAGAACATCATACATGAAGAAAGCAAAGGTCATTAAAAAGACAGGAAAGGCAAAAAAGACCAAAAAGGATGTCTGAAGAGACTCTGAATCTTGCTCTTGAATGGCGAGTAGCTAAAGCAAATGGAAGAAATGACGAGATAAAAGAGCTGAACAGATTTCACAGGGCAGCTCAAGAAGACAAAGTAAAGTATTATAAGGAAATATGCCCAGATCTGGAGTTAGAAAACTAAAAGGGAAAATCATGCTCAGTATTCTCAAGCTGAAAGAACTGAAGAAAAAATTCAAGCCTTGAGTTGCAGTACTGAACGATTCTGTGGACAAAATATTGAACGATGCAGGAAGCATCAAAAGAAGATGAAAGAAATACACAGAATCACTGTATCAAAAATGTTCAGCTATTTCAGGAGGTAGTATTTGATCAAGAACCAATGGTATTGAAGGAAGAACTCCAGGCTGCACTAAAGGAATTGGTAAAAAAAAAAAAAAAAAATGAGGCTCCAGGAACTGACAGAATACTCATTGACATGTTTCAGTGAATGGATGCAGTACTGGAGGCGCTTACTTGTTTATGCCAAGAAATTTGGAAGACAGTTACCTGGACACATGACTAGAAGAGATTGATATTTGTGCCCATTCCAAAGAAAGGTGATCCAACAGAGTGTGGAAATTATCAAACAATATCATCTGTATCACAAGTGAGTAAAATTTTGCTGAAGATAATTCATAAATGGTTGTAGCAGTATATTGACTGGGGAACTTCCAGAAATTCAAGCTGGATTCAGAAAAGGAAGTGGAACAAGGAATATTATTGCTGATGTTGGATGGATCTTCACTGAAAGCAAAGAATACCAGAAAGATGTTACCTGTGTACTATATGATAGATGCATAGATATTATAGCTATATCTATAGGTATAAATATACATATGTTATACATGTATGTATGAGTGTGTGAGTGTATTTCAGACTTGAAATAAATTTTTATTACTTACAGAAGCTGTGTTAGACACTTTGGAAAGATTGTTTGGCAACTGTTTAGGATCGGGCAGTCACTTTTCTCTTTCTCTACTCTGCCTTTCACCACTTTGTGCCTTTCCCCCTTCATTATCCCTGTTCTCCTGCTACTTCCTTAAATGTGGAAATTACATAAGGAATACAGTGTTCAAATTCTACCTTCTATCTAGTATTTGACTGCTACCCAATATTGCATAGCTCTTACTGGTTGAAGTATGAAATGATAGTTCAATAGAAATGATGCTTCAAATAGAAATAGTTCAATAGAATTTCCAGTGATGGATTATAGCATAAGAAGTGATTATTTATTTATTTATTTATAACAAAAGTCAATAATGAATTGAAGTTTATTCTAGATTAGACTTAAGTTAATATTTGCTGTATTTATTTTTCACTCTGTTTTAAAACATGAAAATTTGCTGTAATATTTTACAGAAACATCTCAATTTCTAAAATTAAGGGAACGGCTCAGAAGAGTGATAGACTTAACCAGCATTCTGTCCTCCACAGTTCTTTCTATGTATTTATTTATTTTATTGTGATTTGGGTGGAAGTTATAGAGCAAATTCATTTTCCATATAACAGTTCGTACATATTTTGTTTCATGACATTGATTACAATCTCCACAATGTAACAG